CTCTTCCCCTTGTTACCTGCAGTTATGCCCCAAGCCAGACTTACTCCTCATACGGTTTCAGGCGCGCTCTCTTGGCCTGCTCCGTGATGTTCAGAAAGTCCCTGTAGCAGTTTCTGGCCATGACAGTGTACCGTGTGGCACAGCCTAATTCGGTGACCCTGGCTCTTGGCACATAGCCTGACCAGCCAGGGATTGGGGGCTCCTGGAGGGGTTTCTTTATGTATTTGCATTCTGTAAAGAGACGACAGCGCCCTTCCTGAGGGTTTTGAGAAGCCACACCATGGGCAGTGCTCCCAAGTTGGCTGGCCCCCCAAGAGTCAGCCCCGGTGAACACCTCGGCCTCAGCTGTGCTAAGGGCATCTAGCACCGCTGACTGATTCTCTGTGCCAGGCGCCTTGGTAAGGGTTGTACATAGAGCCTCTCATTTTATTCTCTTGTAAACCATAAGAAGTTGGTACCATGTTACTCCACTTTGTGGAGGAGGGGACTGAGAGCTTAAGGAGGTTAAGGGAGACTATGCAAGGAAGTGGTAGGGCCAAGAGTCAAACCCGCATCCATCTGATGCCCAAGTCCTTGCTCTTAAGCAGATCTTGCTGTTTTCTCCGATTAAAAGCTTCAGACATTGCTCTCTGTTTATAAAAGGGAATCGAGAGAAGCATCCAGGCCAGGAGAAAGCACATCAGACTCAGCCTGCGGGTTATGAGTGACTCTGGCTGGCTGGCGGACCCTGGGCAATTTCACATTTGTGAGATCCAAGATTATTGCCCCACCTGCCTCTTCTAGTTGCCTTAAGAATCGAATTAGGCCACTGAGTCCCACAACCTCAGAGCTGGAAGGCACCCTCGGGAGCATCTAGTTCATCCTTCCCTGCCCTGGATGAAGTAACTGGAGCCCAGAGAGGGGGAGCAACCTGCCCAAGGTCACGCAGCAAATACTCACAAAACTGGGCTAAATCTCAGACACTTAGGCAGACGTTCTTTGTAATGTGTTGAAAAATTTTCAAGCATAAGAAATGTGTTCTTAAAATGTCCTCAAACAATTCTAGAAATGATAATCAGGGGAACCAGCCCATTACTTTTCCTATAGGCCTTTATACTTGAAAAAATGGTCTAAGGAGAATCATCGTTATGGTTATTAACATCACAGAATCAGATCATCCGTTGTTTGGGTGGTGGTCATTCAGTGCGAAACCTCTTCCTGCCCAGCTAGTACCCGGAGGAGCTGTGTTCAAGCCCAGGTCTGACCGTAGACAACGAATACTACCTCGCGAAGCCTCACTTTCCTCATCTGTAAAATGGGAATGACAGGATCGACCTCACAGGTTGTTTGGAGTGGTTAATGACATAATGGGGCCTGGCACAGAGAAAGCGAGCAGAAAGCATCGGCTGCTACAATGGCAGCTGTCTGAACGTTCGTGGTGAGCCTCGCCCAGGGCCTCCTGGTTCCCAGCACTCTCTTTCCTAACCCGTGTCCCTCTCCCACTGGAAATGTTCGTTTCTCCTTTTAAGAAACCGAGCCTTTCCATTTTCACTGTAGCCTGAGGATTTAGAACTGTGCTGAATTCTATGATCTCTGTGGCAGCTCAGAGGGCCTGCCAGGCCCTGCGCCTGGGCCAGGGCTGGGGGTGGGGTGGGAGTGAAGGGGACTGGTTTCCGGGGCCAGTACCCAGGCTCAGGGGGTGGTACTGCCGTTGGTACTGGTGCAGAGCCCGCAGCACGGCCTCCTCCGAGCGTACAGGCTTCAGTCTCTGGACACCGGCCACAGAGCAGCGAAATTCCTCCAGCTGGTCCTTATAGCGCTGTGTGTTCTCCTGGAAGGTTTTCACACAGTGGGACATGTTGTCCTCAGCCGAGGATCCCTCGCAGCTGAGGTACGGGATGAAGCCTGCGAGAGCCCACGGGAATCACAGCCTCAGGGAGGGTTTAGAACCTGCCCAAACACCCCAGAATCTCAGCCCACCGCCTGGCATTTCTTCATTGGCGAACAACACTGCACTTTTTCCAAAGGCCATTAATACAAGCCGTGTTGTTGTTTCTACAACGCCCTCCCAAGGCCACGAAATATGACCTTGGAGCTGGGGAGGGAAGGCCTGTTTCAACAAAGGCGATGACAGTAATATTCTTTGATAGCAAAGCCCCTGATGTCAGCCTGAACGGCAAATAGGGAAGGCATGTAATGGGCCAAAATGATAGTCTGAGGGGTAATTGAAATTATTCATCTTTTTTAGAGAGAAAGCTTATTTTCCTTGACACTTCTCAAATGCAATTTGGGATCTTTCTTGTAGGGACCACCTGAAAATTGCGGGCTTATTAAAAGCAGAGACCTATTACACAAAAAGGTAAATTCATTATCTGCGAGACCCACCCCTAGAACAATTTTTCACCATTTTCCACAAAATAATATATAATCATTACAATTAGTATGAGTAAAACACAACTATTTATTTAAACTGGATGCTGAATCCCAAGTACTATAATATTATCGCAATAAAACTATTTTTTAAAAAAGAACAAATGAGGAAAAACTGGTTAAGAACTTGATTTTAAACTGAAAATCAATCAATCAATCAATCTCATGACTGAAGCCCAACATTCTCGCCTTTGTTCCTAGGTAACGAAAACCTGGCTTCAGAGTTGAAAGCAGCAACCCCAATGCCCTGCACCCTGTAAGAAGCCACCTTTAGAAGAACCTAATCACTAGAATGATCTCGAAGTCCTTCACCCACCATCCAATCTCCCCAACCCTTTGGCAATTAAAAGATACCCTAATGCCATGGGGTGACCATAGAAACCAGGGGCCTTGCCACACTGGTTTCTCGCCCATGACAGCCTACTTTGATCTGCATAGATTCTATATAATTGTACACATGCTCACACACAGAAATACAAGTACCTTTAAAATACAGGACAGTTTAAACAGGTTAGGTATGCTAGCTCCACTAATCCTCACACTAATCTTATAAAAAGTCCTTTACTACCCCCAGGTTGTTGGTTGAATTGCGTCTCCCAAATGCATATATCCAAGTTCTAACCCCTGGCCTCTGTGAATGTGAACTTAACTGGAAACAGAGTCTTTGCAGAGGTAAATAAGATCATCCTGGATTTAGGGTAGGCCCCAAATCTAATGCCTGGTGTTTTAATAAAGAGAAAGGAGAGGGAGATTTGAGACTCACAGACACAGAGACATGGGGCAGAAGGACACATAAAGAGTCAGGTGAGGTGGAGGCAGAGATTGAGTAATGCTGTCTCAAGCCAGAGCCTCCAGGAGCTGGAAGAGGCAGGAAGGACCCTCCCCTAGAGCCTTCAGAGAGAACATGGCCCTGACGACACCTTGATTTCAGACTTCTAGCCCCTAGAACTGTGATGGAATAAATATCTGTTGTTTTAAACAGCAGCCCTAGGAAACTAATACACCCATTTTATAAAATTTTTTTACTTAACGTAGAGAGATAAATAACTTAAAATCACACAGCAATGGCCAAGCAGAGACTGGAATCTCAGTTTGTTAGAACCCAACGCCTGTTTTCTTAATCAACCAGTGGGACCAGGTTGAGGCTGGGTGGCCTTGGATTATTTCCCTGTAGCTCTCCTCCTACGAACGCTTGTATGTGAGAGCTGAGGGCCTACAGGGATCACTGAATTTGTCACAGGGATGTGTCTTAGTAAGTTCTCAGTAGCCCAGAAGCCTTAGGTAGGGTGACCAATTGTTCAGGTGCCAAGAACTAAGACATTTCCTGGGACACAGGACTTTCGATGCTAAAACCAGGACCACTCCAGGCAAAACAGGGCAGTTGGTCACCCTCCCCCTAGGGGACACAAGAAAGAATGAGACCATAAGACAGACAGTTCTACAGCAAATCTGAGAAAGCCCAACTTGGGAGGAAGGACAGGGCCTCAGCTTATTCACTGCATCTATCCCCATAGCGCTGTGTCTACCCTGGTCCAAACTCATCCAATGGACATTAATGAAGTGCTTCCTGCATACCAGATCATGTCCTGGGAGATCTGGCCTAAGTTATACCTCTCCATTTATCAGAACTCAGTTATCAGCCATCTTCAGCAATGGGGTGCTCTTAAAAAGTATCTTAACAGTGGGCCAAAGCAGGGACAGTGACCAGGACCATAGTCCTCCTGCCAGGCATGTTGCAGGGCATGTCACCACTTACCACTGTAGCCAGGTGTGATTGGCAGGTGCCTCATGAAGGCCTTGGAAGACTCCATGATTTTGCTCTCTGTTAATAAAGGGAAGAGGGTATGAAATTGTCTTTTCAAATGCTCCTGCCTCAAGAACTCACTGCGGGGGTGCTGGAGCCCTTGCCAGGTTGGGATGGAGAGGCAGCACCACCATTGTACACAAAACCAGACGTTGCTGGTTTCAGTTATAAGGCCAATGACCTGACACCAAGTGGCCTTCACCTCTCACATGAACTCTGATAAAAAGTGTGCAGACCACCACCCACCATGTCTCCCTCCCTCCCCCCACCTACTTTCTATCCATCCTTCTACCCAACAATTGTGAACTATGTGCACACTATGGCCACTTGCTGTGACAGAGATTAAGAATAAAAAGATAAGCCAGACTCAGGACACCCCATGAAAATAAACCCTGTGAACCTGAGGGTAAAGGATGCACCCTTAAACAAGAGCCTTTCTTTATCCAGGAGGCAGTGGTAATTTTTGCTGTCCGCCACCCCATCAGGACATCTGGCGGTGTCTGGAGACATTTTGGGTTGTCACAGCTGGGGAATGGGGTGGTACTGGTATCCTCTGAGTAGAGGCCAAGGATGCTGCTCAACATCCTGCAAGGCTCAGGACAGCCCCTCAACAAGAATTACAGTACATTCTGGCTGGAAGGGGTGAGAAATTCTAAAAGGCTGGAGCGGAGTCCAAGGTAGGTGAGCAGAAGGCGATGGGAGAACCACTGTAGCATCGGTTTATGTGGATGCGTCTCCAGAGCCAGGCCCATTTCCTCTTCAAGATGCCCCGGGGTCCCCCAGAGGGACCAGGCCCAGCATCTCACATCTGTTGATGCTGCTAGGTCCTACCTGGTCAAGCTAGCTCATCTCTTAAAAGTGATAACCTCCCGCCAGGACAAATGGCCGCAGCGGGTGGAGGGGAGGGTCGCAGTCAGGTTTTGTCAGCAATGATGGGAAATTTTAAAACAGTTCATTTATAGAACGCTTGTTATAGGACACGGCTGAACGCACGACTGCGTTCCTGTTAAATCCTCACGGCCACTACTGGAGTCCCCATTTCACAGACGAGATAAAAAGGCAGAGAGAGATTAACTTGTTTGAGGGCTGTCGCGTCCAAGCAGGTATGAACCGACGACCTCTAAATTCTAAAAGGCAGGATTTTGTGGCCCAAAAGTGAGCCTCCGGGGAGGGGGCGGAACCCAGCGCGGGTGGGGGCGGGCT